GTATATTTGAAAATAACTATTTACATATCTTATATAATCTGATTTAACGATGTTTATTCTCATGATAATAATGTTCATCATCTACATGATAATAATGATGTTCATCATCTTCATGATAATGTTCATCATCTTCATGATAATAATGTTCATCATCTTCATGATAATGTTCATCATCTTCATGATAATGTTCATCATCTTCATGATAATGTTCATCATCTTCATGATAATGTTCATCATCTTCATGATAATAATGATGTTCATCATCTTCATGATAATGTTCATCATCTACGTGATATCAATGATGTTCATCATCTTCATGATAATAATAATGTTCATCTTCATGATAATAATAATGTTCATCATCTTCATGATAATAATGATGTTCATCATCTACATGATAATAATGATGTTCATCATCTTCATGAAAATAATGAGGTTCATCTTCATGATAATAATGTTCATCATCTTCATGATAATAATGATGTTTATCATCATAATGATAATAATGCTGCTGCCCATAATTATAGGAATACTAATAACGAAAGTAAGCATTATTATGATAATATTGTTGCCGATGGTGATAGCAATACTAATAACGAAATAAGGAATTATATCGATAATATTGTTAACGATGGTGATAGCAATACTAATAACGAAAGAAGGAATTATATTGATAATAATGCCAGTCACAATGATTACATCTCAGATAAAAATTATATGGATTTCTGTAATGACAATAATTAACAATAATGAAAGTAATAAAAATGATACTAATAAATGATTATAGCAATAAAACAATGCTGTTGATGATAATGATGATACATTATGATAAGCAAATCTACAGCTATAAGAATAAAGGTATTATTTTAATAATTCTTCACTGATCATAATGATTCAGCGAATACTGGCCATTAGTTGATTTTAGTTGTGCAGGTATTGCCCACCTATAGGTATATTAGAAGTTGTACGACGAAAGGAAAGTGTTAATTGATAGATAATTTACATGAAACTGTCTTTATTGAAATTTCTCATTTAGTTACTATGATAACAGTTATATACCGTGGATGTTTCGATAGCCGTTGCTACGTAATTAACGGTTTCCTTGATGTATTCTGTCTGGTAATCTGTCTTGTGGATTGGCCAGGCGTTCGTCATAGTTCTGGTAACAAATACTGGGACGTAGATGAGGGAGGTGTGTAGTGATGCCCTATGATGCGGGATGACGTCGCCGCCCCGGATGCCCTGAGGATGCGCTGAGGATGCCTTATGATGCGGGATGACGTCGCCGCCCCGGACGCACTGAGAATGCCCTGAGGATGCCTTATGATGTGGGATGACGTCGCCGCCCCGGACGCACTGAGGATGCCCTGAGGATGCCTTATGATGCGGGATGACGTCGCCGCCCCGGACGCGCATCTATGAACTTACGCTGGAACAATATTTTGGGACACCTAAACTCCTATAGAACAGTCTCCCATACCTGTCGTTCTCTAATACGTAACTGGCCAATCAGAATTGCTGGTAAAAGGCCTAATGACAACTCAGGCCTAAAAGTCTATAAAAGGGGGGGCATATGACCTTTAACCCCTCTCTATCATTTTCGCTTG